CCCCAAAACCCCAAAACCCCAAAACCCCTTTTACAGTAAAAATCTTGAAAATGAGTGAAGAATCATGAAGAAAGACAGCAAAAGACTGGTCTAGTGGGCCTTTTTAAGGGGATTTTTTAGGAAATTTAGAAGTGAGAGGTAACACTGGATTTAAGAGAGAGGAGAGGAGGGTTGGGAATGTGGATTTGTGTATGATAGAGATTGTGGGGGTTCATAGATGTTATGAAAGGGTTGGAGAGATTGAGAAGTTTGTAGGGTGCTTTCAAATTGAAGGATTTCATGATTTTTATGGTTTTTAGGATGCTCAAGTGTGATGCTTGGATTTATTTATTCTGTGATGTTCAGAGGAGTGGTTCTAGTGCATCGTCATTTGTGTTTAGATTAATATAGACAGGAACTGCAATACATAGGGCTAGTATAACCATTCCTAAAATATCTGTGTATACAAAATGATATTTGAAAAAGAAAATATCTAATCAAATTGTAAATATATTTTCGAAATTGATAACTGGGGCTACAAAAGAAGCCCCAATATACTTGGTAGCCAAAATACTTCCCAAAATATAAAACCCTGCAAGAAATCCATGACCTATATCTTTAACTTAAGGCACTTACTCTCCACCATAAACCAGTCAAACTCAGTATATTTTTCAAATCCCAACTCTTCAGCAACTAAAGCCGATGCCACAAAGCCAATTCCTCAAGTGATACATATCCATTCAGGCCCAGCTCCTTTCAAATTCAGGTATCTTGTCATCACAAATTCAGCGCCTCCGATCCAGACAGCAACCAGTCAGACCAAGTAGCCTGAGACACTTCCTTCAGCTTGCCTGTCCTCTTTATTCAATGAGAGGAGGTAGATTCCAAAGCCTGCTCCTACCAGGCACAAAATGTGCATCTTCGTTAGCTTCTCCTTCAGGAATATAGATGCTAGAATAGCTCATGGGATTGGATTCTGACTGAACATAAACACTGCTTTTGATAGTGGGAGATGATCGAGGACATACAGGAACAAGATGTAGTTTATAAGGCCTCATAACCCCCGGATTAGGATTATTACTAAAACTAGTATTGGATAAGTTGTGAATTCTAACAATTTTCCAGATAAAAAGCCGATGGTTAGCCCGAAAAATATCAAAGAGATTCCCATTGGAAAAACAATATCAGCATTTGATAAATAAGGGCTTGAATTTGATAATATTTTCACTTGAAAATCAGCCAAAGTTAGAGAAATCACACTTAATGCTGACATGAGAAGCCCAATCAACATGGCACCTTTAGAAAAGGATCGCTTGGAACGACTAGTGTAAGCTCTTGGTTCCTGGCTCTGAGAAGATTGAATTTCAACTTTGCTGAATACTAAGCTGTTAGGGATATGATTGTCCAGTTTTGGCTCTGATTTTGAACAAGCTATATCAAATTTCCTGTGCATTATTATTAAAATATAAAATATCTATTTATCTTAGCTTTTTCGGGGTTTTGGGGTTTTGGGGTTTTGGGG